TAGCAATAATAATAATACTAATAATAATAATAGGAGGAGTTAGGAGGAGGGCAAGCAGAAAGGCACAGCTGTCCTCAATCAGGTTGACGAACACATTGGGCAAGCAGGCCTCCCACCGCTGTCGCACTTGCCACCCAGCTGCGAGGCGGAAGGCAAGAGTCTCATCCTGGGTTCTTGTTCAGGAACCTATAAGTACGGGCCATGGGGAACTATTAGGTCACCGTCATGGGGATCCATGAACTATAATATAATAACTATAAGTCACCATGACGGGATTTATGGTATACATAATCCTGGCTTCCTTACTATGGTAACTAAAAGGAGTTCCCGAACAAGAACCGAGCATCCTTCTCGGTTCGCCTCTTCTGCAGCATCTCATGCGTCTGCTTCAGATCGCTGAACATGCTGGTGCTCTGGTCTGTGCGTTCCGCAACGCAGAAGACCTCAGGCGCCTGGTGGTAGGGATCCAACTTGTTCAACCTTGCAGCGATGGAAAACCGCTCAATCCCTGGACCGACGATTTCTTCCATCTCTGGGTGGTTGGCGATGAGTTGGTACCACGGCCGGCCCGAGTGGGTGAGATCGATTTCCACGTCTTCGTTGCCACTTCGCCGTAGCTTCGCATGAAGCGCTGGCTGGCAGCAGCGGAGGATGTCCTAACACTCTCAGATGAGCCGCTTGTTTTTAGGCTCATGAACTATCATGACCAAAGCCAGAACGGCATTCTTTTAAGTTATTGTTAAGCCGATGCAGCTCGAACTGCGGAGCCTGATCAAATCCATATACAACCACGTAGCTATGACGACGATGTCGCATTTTGCACAGACTTCAAAACGACCTCTCCTGCGAATGTTTTCCTCCGTTCCGAGGTCTATCCCTCCGTTTACCTACAGAGAAACAGCCATCGAGAGTCTACGGCCCAAGAACCCTGCAAACAGCGGGATACCATCCACGGCTCAAGTCAGATGCCTTACTTCCGCGAGTCACCTTAAGAAGCCTGAACCCCACGCCCGCAGCCCCCACAAGACCATTGCAAGGTTTAGGGGTTTGGTCTACGAAAGCCTAAACCTTAATCCCAAAAAGCCCTAAAGGGTTTTGGGGCTTCGATTTTGGAGTTGAACCGACGTCCTCCAGGCCACTGCTGGTGATGGCTTCGCAGCGGCGAAGCTCTGCGATGGTCAGTGGACCTTGGAAGCTCCGGGAGATCTCCGGATGCCAACCCTCGATGTTCCGCCAGAAGTCCTGCAGGGCTTTGGGTTAGTCAGGGCTTTGGGGGTTTAGAGCTTAGGGGTTTTTAGGGGTTCAGAGGGCTTTGGGTTTAAGGTTTTAAGGGTTTAGGGTTTAGAGCTTAGGGTTTCGGGCTAGGGCTTTGGGGTTTTGGGGTTTTTAGGGGTTTAGGGGTTTTAGGGCTTTGGGTTTAGGGCTTGAGGGGTTTAGGGTTTAGGGCTTAGGGTTTAGGGCTTAGGGCTTAGAGTCTTGGGGCTTAAGGTTTATAGGGCTTAGGGTCTAGAGCTGTGGGTTTGGGGTTTCAGGGTTCGGGATCTGGGTGTAGGGCTTGGAACCTAGAGTGTTCTGGTTAAGGGCTTGGTGTTCTGGGATTACGGCCACGGCCGCAAAGCTACCTCTGCTCCCCTTCAAAATGGGTATCACGGGGCTGAAAATTGAACCCCAGGACTTGCATCGTACTGCACTAAAACTCCTGAAATTATCACAGAAGCCAAATTTAAACGAACACACATACAGTAGCAAGGGGTCTAACTCTATACAACCCGACCCAAGTGCTAAGCCTTGAACCCGGAGTCATATATATATATATATACATCCGAAACCCAACCCTCGAACCCTGACACCCTAACCAAAGGAAACTACAGGTGCGGAGTTTAGGGTATATATCTATAAGTTATATAGACCTTCTATAAGGCTCCTTTCACGGTAACTACCCACCTGAAAATGTCCCAGACCTCACCCCAAAACCCTAAAGCACTACACCCTGAACCCTAAACGGACGCCTAAACCCTAAAACCTCGAGTCCTGGCTCTCCAGGTCATAAAAATGCGTCAGCCGCTTTTCGGGCAGCCACTGCCAGTTTTCGTGGACCTCGCAACTTTCAGGAAGAGAGCGGGTTAGGGTTTAGGGTTTAGGGGTTCAGGGGTTTTGGGCTTTCGGAATTTGAGGCTTCAGGGTTCAATAAGACAAGTTTGAGAGCTTCTTTCAGAGTTTGGGAAATAGAAGTTCGGTTTAGGGTTAAGGGTTTAGGGGTTCAGCGCCTTCGGTTTGGGAGTTTGCGGCTTCAGGTTCTAGAACTCACATCTTCGGATTTCGGCAGTCGGCAAATATAAACAGGACCCTAAAAGGGGACCCTAACTAGAACTACCCATGTGAGGTCAGGATGAAAATGGAACTGCGATGCCGATATGGTCAGTGATGGTGTCCGTACAGATTTTGGGTCCAGGACTTTTGTGCCAAACAGGCTAGAGCACGTGGTGGTGCTTAGGGCGCCCGCCTCGTCCCATACCCGCCGCCACTGCGGCGACAGTTTCGACGGGTCTTGGCACAGCAAAGCCATGAACCCCACGCAAGCAGCCCTTTTGCGGTGCTCCACCGTGCCGCCCAACGCGAGGACCTTGTGAGAATCGAGCTTGAAAAGGCCGCCATAGGAATACTCCTCCGGAAAAAACTGCTTCAGCCACCTCGTGAGCTCTTTGGTCTGCTCCTTCCACTTCGGGGTTGACCAACGTTCCCCAAAGCACCCTCAACAACCTCGCACTCGTATTCGTAGGTATATGTAATTACCCCATCACCGAGGTAGTTGGGGTCTGAATCATGGACTTTGGAGGCCCAGAACTGCCCAGAACCCGAAACCCCAAGCCGTTTGCTCCTCCTGCAGATTGCTCAAGTTCTCCACGTCCGCGGCCCACTGGAACATCGTCTTCGAAGATGCGAAAAGGCTGGCACCGCGGTCCTCGCAGAGCACCACCAAGCTCTGGTCCTGCCTGCAGGATGCTGCCGACCCTTTGAACCCTAAGGTTTAAGGTTTAGGGTTTAGGGTTTAGGGTTTCTAAGCCCAAGACCCAACACCACTAGTCTAGTAAGCTTTTCAGTAGCAGTAGCAGTAGCAGTAGCAGTAGCGGTAGCAAAAGCAGTAGCAGTAGCAGTACAGTAGTAGTTCCAGTAGTAGTTCTAGTAGTAGCTGCCGTTCCGTAGTAGTAGTGGCAACAGGTACGGTAGTGCAAGGTAGTACCCAGAGAACCAAACCCTTAATCAAGGAATATACCTTAAATCATAATATTATAAGGTCCCTATAGTTTAAGGTATATTCCTTCATTAAGGGGTATTGGGCTCTCTGGGTATGTGCCCGTTCGAGCTGCCTGCACCACCACAGCCATGAGCCAAGTGCCGGGGTCCACCTGGTTTTCCAAGTACCAAGAGAGCCCAATACACCTTAAATAAGGAATACACCTTAAATTATAGGGGCCTTGATATGATGATTGAAGGTAGATTCCTTAATTAAGGGGTATTGGGCTCTCTGGGCATGCTAAGACGGAAACAATTAGCCTCTGTCAGCTTTGTTTTCGGATTGAGGCTTCAGGGTTGAGGGCTTCAGATAGGTTTAGGATTTAGGCTTCGAAGTTCTTTCCAGACTATCGCATTTAAACCCGCCGCGAATTTAGATTCCCGTCTTGACCATTGAACTTGTGTAGACGCTAGAGCCAAACTTCTCACCATACTTTGCGAAGGCAAGGCAAAATAAACCGTTCTTCTACACGCCTGAGCTCTGAAACTTAAGACCTGCAACCCCCAACAAATGCGAAAAACTTCCCACAAAACTAACCCTCAACCCGCAAAGATCCTCTAACCCGACGCCACCCCAAACCCCAAGCACCACTGCGAACTCGAGCGGCCCCTCCCGTGTTCGCACCGCTGGGGCTGCCCCGAAGCATCGCCGGGGAGCCCGGACAGGCCTCAGGGGAGGACTGGAGGGCTTACATAAACTTAGGGGCTGCGTACCCTAGCCCAAAAAAAGGTTAACCTTTTGAATTATAGTAGGATTATAAGAGCCCCAAAAGGTTAAAGGTTACCTACTCAGCCACTAAGTAAAGGTTCATGGGACTTAGTAACTCAGGTTGTAAATCATAAACAAGGTAACAATACTTATAATTGCTTATAGCCCCGGTTGAAGTACTTAGAACTATACTTATAGTTGCTTATAACCCCAATTGAGGTACTTCTAACTGTACTTATTAAGTCCCATGACCCTCCAAGTAGGGTTTCCTGAAAGAGTCCTTAAGGGAGCTAAACCCTAAACCCTAAACCCTAAACCGTGAGGGAGCTAGAGCTTGAAAGGGGCGAAGGTCAAGAGCTTCCCCAGCCTGGACTCGAAACGCCAGAAAACCCACAAAGCTCGAAACCCACGATATACGCCCCGTAATCAGGGCTGAGGGCTTAGGGTTTAGGGTTCAGGGTTTAGGGTTTAGGGTTCAGGGTTTAGGGCTTTAGGGTTTAGGGTTTGGGGTTTATAGGGATCCCACACCCTAAACCCTGAAAACCAGTACCCTTAGAACCCTCAACCTCAAAGCCCAGGGTTTTCGGAGTGGTTGCTGAGGATTGGCGATGTTCGGCTGAGCGACTGAAGGCCCCAAGAAGGCATGAGCCCCGTGCGACATGAAGCCTCAAAACCTTTAGACCAGTTTCTAGGGTGCTTTTGTTGAAGGCCTCCTTTCCGACTGCATAAGGTCTATGCTTCGAAAGGCCCCATAGGCGGGCAAATGGTTTAGGATTGAGGATTTGGGGCTGAGGATTTAGGGGTTCATGACAACTTAAACTCTATCACCCTGCACCCTAAATCCCCTCTTATTGCAGATATGAAGGGGCACAAGGGCTTTCAGAGTTTGGGATTTCGCGTCGCCCTTTTGGGGAACGTGATACCATAAAACCCTATTTAAACCCTAAACCCTAAATGCGGTGGAACTAGGGCTGGCAGCATAAGGTCGGTTGGAGAGCTTTGGGTGTAGGACGCTAAACCCAGGCGTGCCAAAGAGCCTTCGCCGAAACGATGGGTTTGAGAGTTTAGGGTTTAGGGTTTAGGGTTCTGGACAGGTGGTGAAGATGAGTACATAATCAACCCCCAGTATAGGGGTCTGAACAGTTCGTAAGAGTATCACAATGAAGCCTCTCAAAAACTAGACTACAACATATCCCGAAACCTCAGTCTAGCTATCACTAAGGCCCCTCCATGTTTCAAACCGTTTTCCCTGAGCGCACTTGCCTGGCTCTCGGTATCCTGGAGCTTCCATCCGAAGGATGAATGGGCATGAAGGACACCTGCACTGCAAATTTATCTGCAACCCTAAACCCTAAACCCTAAACCGTTGAAGGCTCTTGCATTTCAGGGGGTGAGAGGGGGATGCCTGGGGTCTGGAGGTTAAGAACCCTAAACCCCACTTTGGCGACTGTCGACCGCTGCGGATGTAGTACGCAGAGGTTCTGGCTTGGGGTATGGAGGAGTTGGCATGGAAGCCGTGAAACATCCCAAGACTTCAAAGAGCGTTGAAAGAACTATCCTGACGAAGGCCCTTGTGCGGATTAGAAGCTTAGGGTTTAGGGCTTTAGGCATAAGGAACAGCTGTTATGAAGCCTTGATAAGGCCCTGCACTTTAAGTCGCAAACTCTAAACCCAAGTCTCCTTCAGTTTTCCGGTCATGCGGAGTAAGCCCTGCCGAAACGCAAGATCTTAAACCCACAACCTTCAAAACCCCGAAACCCTAAACCCTAAATCCTTAAACCCTCAACCTTCAAAACCCCGAAACCTAAATCCCTAAACGAAACCCCCTCTTTCCAAAACTCAACCCTGACCCCAAAATAAGCCCAAGATCCCAACCAACCTCTATAAGGACCGTAAGGGCTTTTTTTTTAAAGGGTCCTGGTATACTCAAAACTCTAAACCCTAAACTTATAGAACCCTGAAAAGAATTTTTAAAGGGACCCTTGCCGGGTTTTGGCTTAAGAGGTTTGGGCTTAGGGGTTCCTTCAAGCGGTTCCTTTAAGGGGTCTACAGTTTCAGGGAGAAGGTCCGAAGTTCCTTTCATGGCCGCTTTAGGGGTTTAGCTTTTAGGGGTTTAGGGTTTAGGGTTTAGGGTTTAGGGTTTAGGGTTTAGGGTTAGCTCGCATCATGCTAGCCATCGCCCAGCCCCTTTGACAACATTTTGGGGGGCGGGGGGCGTCCTC